GTATGTAGTGTTTCTACTTTAAAGAGTCCTCTCCTGCTCATGTTCAGGTGTATATCAGTATGTAGTGTCTCTACTTTAAAGAGTCCTCTCCTGCTGATGTTCAGGTGTATATCAGTATGTAGTGTCTCTACTTTAAAGAGTCCTCTCCTGCTGATGTTCAGGTGTATATCAGTATGTAGTGTCTCTACTTTAAAGAGTCCTTTCCTGCTGATGTTCAGGTGTATATCAGTATGTAGTGTCTCTACTTTAAAGAGTCCTCTCCTGCTGATGTTCCGGTGTATATCAGTATGTAGTGTATATACTTTAAAGAGTCCTCTCCTGCTGATGTTCAGGTGTATATCAGTATGTAGTGTCTCTACTTTAAAGAGTCCTCTCCTGCTGATGTTCAGGTGTATATCAGTATGTAGTGTCTCTACTTTAAAGAGTCCTTTCCTGCTGATGTTCAGGTGTATATCAGTATGTAGTGTCTCTACTTTAAAGAGTCCTCTCCTGCTGATGTTCAGGTGTATATCAGTATGTAGTGTCTCTACTTTAAAGAGTCCTCTCCTGCTGATGTTCAGGTGTATATCAGTATGTAGTGTCTCTACTTTAAATAGTCCTCTCCTGCTGATGTTCAGGTGCACATATCAGTAGGTAGTGTCTCTACTTTAAAGAGTCCTCTCCTGCTGATGTTCAGGTGTATATCAGTAGGTATTGGTCTCTACTTTAAAGAGTCCTCTCCTGCTGAGGTTCAGTGTATATCAGTATGTAGTGTCTCTACTTTAAAGATCCTCTCCTGCGATGTTCAGGTGTATATCAGTATGTAGTGTCTCTACTTTAAAGAGTCCTCTCCTGCTGATGTTCAGGTTGTATATCAGTATGTAGTGTCTCTACTTTAAAAGAGTCCTCTCCTGCTCATGTTCAGGTATATCAGATGTAGTGTCTTACTTTAAAGAGTCCTCTCCTGCTGATGTTCAGGTGTATATCAGTATGTAGTGTCTCTACTTTAAAGAGTCCTCTCCTGCTGATGTTCAGGTGTATATCAGTATGTAGTGTCTCTACTTTAAAGAGTCCTCTCCTGCTGATGTTCAGGTGTATATCAGTAGGTAGTGTCTCTACTTTAAAGAGTCCTCTCCTGCTGATGTTCAGGTGTATATCAGTATGTAGTTGTCTCTACTTTAAAGAGTCCTCTCCTGCTCATGTTCAGGTGTATATCAGTATGTAGTGTTCTTACTTTAAAGAGTCCTCTCCTGCTGATGTTCAGGTGTATATCAGTATGTAGTGTCTCTACTTTAAAGAGTCCTCTCCTGCTGATGTTCAGGTGTATATCAGTATGTAGTGTCTCTACTTTAAAGAGTCCTCTCCTGCTGATGTTCAGGTGTATATCAGTATGTAGTGTCTCTACTTTAAAGAGTCCTCTCCTGCTGATGTTCAGGTGTATATCAGATGTAGTGTCTCTACTTTAAAGAGTCCTCTCCTGCTGATGTTCAGGTGTATATCAGTATGTAGGTCTCTACTTTAAAGAGTCCTCTTCCTGCTGATGTTCAGGTGTATATCAGTATGTAGTGTTCCTCTACTTTAAAGAGTCCTCTCCTGCTGATGTTCAGGTGTATATCAGTATGTAGTGTCTCTACTTTAAGAGTCCTCTCCTGCTGATGTTCAGGTGTATATCAGTATGTAGTGTCTCTACTTTAAAGAGTCCTCTCCTGCTGATGTTCAGGTGTATATCAGTATGTAGTGTCTCTACTTTAAAGAGTCCTCTCCTGCTGATGTTCAGGTGTATATCAGTATGTAGTGTCTCTACTTTAAAGAGTCCTCTCCTGCTGATGTTCAGGTGTATATCAGTATGTAGTGTCTCTACTTTAAGAGTCCTCTCCTGCTCATGTTCAGGTGTATATCAGTATGTAGTGTCTCTACTAAGAGTCCTCTCCTGCTGATGTTCAGGTGTATATCAGTATGTAGGTCTCTACTTTTAAAGAGTCCTCTCCTGCTGCTGTTCAGGATGTATTATCAGTAGTAGCCTGTCTCTACTTTTACAAGAGTCCTTCTCCTGCTCATGTTCAGGGTGTATATCAGATGTAGTGTCTCTACTTTAAAAGAGTCCTCTCCTGCTGATGTTCAGGTGTATATCAGTATGGTAGTGTCTCTACTTTAAAGAGTCCTCTCCTGCTCATGTCAGGTGTATATCAGTATGTAGTGTTTCTACTTTAAAGAGTCCTCTCCTGCTGATGTTCAGGGTGTATATCAGTATGTAGTGTTCTACTTTAAAGAGTCCTCTCCTGCTCATGTTCAGGTGTATATCAGTATGTAGTGTCTTTCTACTTTAAAGAGTCCCTCCTGCTGATGTTCAGGTGTATATCAGTATGTAGTGTCTCTACTTTAAAGAGTCCTCTCCTGCTGCATGTTCAGGTGTATATCAGTATGTAGTGTCTCTACTTTAAAGAGTCCTTCTCCTGCTGATGTTCAGGTGTATATCAGTATGTAGTGTTTCTACTTTAAAGAGTCCTCTCCTGCTGATGTTCAGGTGTATATCAGTATGTAGTGTCTCTACTTTAAAGAGTCCTCTCCTGCTCATGTTCAGGTGCACATATCAGTAGGTAGTGTCTCTACTTTAAAGAGTCCTCTCCTGCTGATGTTCAGGTGTATATCAGTATGTAGTGTCTCTACTTTAAAGAGTCCTCTCCTGCTGATGTTCAGGTGTATATCAGTATGTAGTGTCTCTACTTTAAAGAGTCCTCTCCTGCTCATGTTCAGGTGTATATCAGTATGTAGTGTTTCTACTTTAAAGAGTCCTCTCCTGCTGATGTTCAGGTGTATATCAGTATGTAGTGTTTCTACTTTAAAGAGTCCTCTCCTGCTCATGTTCAGGTGTATATCAGTATGTAGTGTCTCTACTTTAAAGAGTCCTCTCCTGCTGATGTTCAGGTGTATATCAGTATGTAGTGTCTCTACTTTAAAGAGTCCTCTCCTGCTGATGTTCAGGTGTATATCAGTATGTAGTGTCTCTACTTTAAAGAGTCCTCTCCCGCTCATGTTCAGGTGTATATCAGTATGTAGTGTTTCTACTTTAAAGAGTCCTCTCCTGCTGATGTTCAGGTGTATATCAGTATGTAGTGTCTCTACTTTAAAGAGTCCTCTCCTGCTGATGTTCAGGTGTATATCAGTATGTAGTGTCTCTACTTTAAAGAGTCCTCTCCTGCTGATGTTCAGGTGTATATCAGTATGTAGTGTCTCTACTTTAAAGAGTCCTCTCCTGCTGATGTTCAGGTGTATATCAGTATGTAGTGTCTCTACTTTAAAGAGTCCTCTCTGCTGATGTTCAGGTGTATATCAGTATGTATTGTCTCTACTTTAAAGAGTCCTCTCCTGCTGATGTTCAGGTGTATATCAGTATGTAGTGTCTGTACTTTAAAGAGTCCTCTCCTGCTCATGTTCAGGTGTATATCAGTATGTAGTGTCTCTACTTTAAAGAGTCCTCTCCTAGCCAATAGAAGTGTGATTGTTACATAGTGACATCATTATGGAGGCGTTTCAGGCAGTTTACAGAAAAATGCCAGAGCACTTCTTCCCATAATGTTGCATTACAGTGTTTGTAAACTATATTTGAAGTTATTTAAGTGTTACACTCAGTGGGCCCAATCCCAGTCAGATTGTATATTTAAAGAACATCTTCTAAATATTTAAAGAAGTGTCTAGTAGCCTATCAGAGAGTCCCACTCCAGGCGCTGTATACGAGGAGAGAGAAGGCCTCTGAGAGCTGCTCTCTACTGGTTATCATGAAGCTTGAATATTAATGAAGTCCTAAAAGCTGGCGTTGACTGTGACCTCTCCATAGGTCTAACACACACACACACACACACACACACACACACACACACACACACACACACACACACACACACACACACACACACACACACACACACACACACACACACCCTTCATCCTTTCCTACGATGTGAAGGTCTTGCTTCCTGAGGGACTGGAAGATGAGGAGGGTTTAGGTGTTGATTACTGCAGTGCTGAACTGTCAAGTGTGTGTGTGTGTGTGTGTGTGTGTGTGTGTGTGTGTGTGTGTGTGTGTGTGTGTGTGTGTGTGTGTGTGTGTGTGTGTGTGTGTGTGTGTGTGTGTGTGTGTGTGTGTGTGTGTGTGTGTGTGTGTGTGTGTGTGTGTGTGTGTGTGTGTGTGTGTGTGTGTGTGTGTGTGTGTGTGTGTGTGTGTGTGCGTGTAGGGAGGCAGCAGGTTACAGAGAGTGTATCACGCTATAGCGCCTCCTCTAGACTCCTTCTCCGCTGCTGGAGACATCAAGTGTAAAATTGCACTCTAATTCAAACACACTCCATCAAAACCCATAAGGTCACATTTGCACTTTTGCACACACAAACTCTATGAATAAAACTACACACATATATATTGGTGCATGGTTGTAAACTCTTCTCATTGGATGGCAACAAGACTTACTTTAACAGAAGCTTCAGTTAATTGGATCTCAAATGATTCATTCAATATAACATTGGAAATAACTCATTAAAATCCTAACGAGAGTAATGCAATGGTGAATTAAGTTCAAGGACTCTTTTATTGTTGTCAGCAGGCTTACAAGACAGTTAGAGCACAGTACATCCTAAAACTATATGTGGATTGAACTACCATCAAGCTAATACTAGTGGGCTCAATAAATAGAGTTTCAATATTCAAACATTCCGTATTCAAAGGTTTTATTGTCATATGCACAATAGCTTTAAAGTTTACATGGAAGTTGTTGGTAATTACAATAAAATAGTCCTATTCTCCTCCAACAATACAATATACTTAGATAAAATAGAGCAACAGTGCAAGTGAAATGCAGAAATAAGTAAACAATGTACATTTAAATCGAACAAGATGAAACAGAAAGTACATTAAATACTGTACAATGAAATAAAATACTTCCTATTATTATAATATATCAATATGAGGAATGTGCTAAATACTATTGATAATCATTTGTGTCTAACTTTGTTCTCTCGTTTTCTTCCAGCAACAACGGCGTCTCGACCTGTTAACCATCACCAACATGGGTAAGTCCCTGAGTCTTTTAACTTCACTTTACCCACAATGCACCTCTCTACACCAACACCCCTCCACCACTGATGTGAAACCACACTGTGACGCTCCCACAGGAAACCCAGCGTCAGTGTACCTCAATGTTTTCCATGTGGCATCATATCGATCTGACAGAAACATGCCGTGTGTTTCCTGCGAACCCACTTTCCAAATACTAAAAGCTGTTTTCTGGAAGCAGCTTTCCTACATACACACACACACACACACACACACACACACACACACACACACACACACACACACACACACACACACACCATGTATACATCACTTCAGGGGACGTTATATTGACTTACATGCATTTCCTGGAGACTTATCCTAACCTTAACCATAACCAACACATGCCTAACCCTAACCCTTCCGCTAACCCTAAACCTAACCAAGTCTTCACCCTAAAATTAATGAGTCCCCACACGTGACTGTGTAAACGGATTTACGTCCCCACAAGTATAGTAATGCTAGGCCACACACACACACACACACGATTGCACATGTACAGTAAGTATAAGACCTAACACAGATAACTTAATGCCTGCGCTGTGGAAAACCCTGAAGCTGAATCACGGCTGATCTGATGGCTGCTGGTCAGCTAATCTACAGTATGTGTTTTAAGGGACGCTGTCTCATGATGTGATATATTACAGAAGTATTGACCCAAAGCTTTTCTAATGGGATAATAAACCATTCAGTTAAAGTCAGAAGGACAAACATGCCCTGAGGCCTTTTCTACATGTGTGTTTAAGTGTTGTAAGAGCAGGTTTTACAGAGCAGATGGGAAGACTTTGTACTACTTTTGGGATTATAAAGGGATTTATCAACAGGTCAGATATTAGTATATTTAAACAGTAATTGTCACAATATGTCTTGTAAAGTTCTTCTTCTGGGTTGAATTACATGTGTCCCTGGTTTTTAAACTATGTTGATGAAGATATCCCATGTCAGTTAATGCGTTTGTTTTGATCTAATCAGGTTAATAGCATTATTACATTTTTATTATACTCTTATATGTGTCTTATATTGTATGTGCAATGCAGTCTGTGTTTAACTGAATAACTATAGGTGTTTTCTCATGTACTCTGACAAAGTCCGGAGAATCAGGTCTGTGTATTGTCCAGAGTTTCCTTTTTCATTTATTTAGCACACAACAGGATATTGTCAGACGGGTTCTCACTTATAGGAAACATTACGCTTGGTAAAGGCATCGGGTGGTACCAAAGCAGCAAAGTCAGGATATGGCGCAGGTAAACATGAGTGTCCTGCCATTCCTTGATTCTGTAAGACGATTTCTGCATCTCTGTTCACCCTTTCTTTATTCCCATTTCACGCCAGTTGTATAGAAACATCATCAAGGTCAAGGTCAAGGTTCTTTATCTGTGAACTCACTTGCCGTGGATTTCCCCCGAAAGCTCTATATTTGCATGGGTTCAATTGTACATTACACAGATATTGTACTAGACAAGCTGAAAGTGTAAAGTGTGTTGGGTCTGAATGCAGGGCCGGCCCTGACGAATTTGCTGCCCTAGGCAAGATTTTAGCTGGCGCCCCCCCCTCCAAATGCAGACACTTATGACGCGTTTCCACTGCAGCGGGGTAGCCCCGTTTAAGCGTCCCTAAGCGTCCTCGCTCTGGCCTCGGGCTGCCTCGCTGGCCGGCCCGAGGCCGTGGCGCATTTCCATTACAGTTTAGGACCTGGGGTAGCAACGCAGTGTAGGCGGGGCGATCGGCTTCACATTTCGAGTTGTTCCGTCGAGCTCCCGCTGGATTTGATCATCCCCAATGAGATGAAGGAACGTCGTCACCTCCTCGGTCGACCACGGTGTGCTTTTCTTATTAGACGTAGCCATTTTTGTAGCTCCTCCGTTTACAAAATGCTGTGTATAAAAATGCTGCAAGCTTGCTTCTAGATATATATGCGACGCTAGGGATGAACTCGCGCGCAATCTTGTGACGATTCTCTCTGGCCCTGGTCTGATAGAACCACGATTTTATGAGGCCGGAAAAAGAGGGGAAAAGTACCCGCTGGCCGGTACTAGGCTATATGGAAACGCCACCAAAAACCGGCCTGGCCGCTTGAGGACGGTTAAGGACGCTTAAACGGGGCTACCCACTGCAGTGGAAACGCGCCATTACACTTACTATGACTCGCGCGTGCACGGTTGTGGCATGACCACCAAAACAGAAAGATATGGACACAAGATGTGTGCAACTGTATTTAGTTTCCTATCCATTTGAACATGATTTAAGTGTAAAACTTTTTTTTTAATTGATGAAGTTAAAAGCATCAATCTGGTGCACTTTGAGAGCAACATTAGGAAATCTATGGACATCTCTCTCAACACCCAGATGAAACAGAACTGTAAGTAGATTTTCTTTTTCTTTATGGATACTTTACAAATCACTCCCCTTTCAAACTGTATTCTTGTTTATTAATAACAACTTTGTTGTACTGTCATATAGTATTTTATTCCTGTTTTTCACCTATTCTCTTATTTTTTTACAACTACTATATAAAGGTGTGCCTTTACCTCACTGAGCTGAGGTTATCAGAGCCGCTCAGTCTTTCAGGAGAGAGCTCTCTAAAGCTCTCCCCCCCCCCCCCCCCCCGCGGCCGCTTACACAGTAAATTCCAATGTTAATAAAAGCACACGTTTTTTGGGAGTTTGATTTATTTTAAATTAACACAAATACAAAATACTACCATTATTTCAAAAAAAGAACAATTTCACATAAACCTCTGGTTCTTACTGGGGCTGGGGCGGTTCAACTTGATTTGGGGGGGGGGGGGTGTGCCATAGTTAATGTGCGCTGTACGCAATATAGGCGTAGTTCTGTTAGTATAAGATAATAAGATGTACTTTGTTGATCCAAAATCGGGAAATTGTGTTGTTATGAAATAAAAACATTTTTTTATTTCAACCCCCTATGGGTTGATGCGCCCTTAGCATTCGCCTATACTGCCTATGCCAAGGGCCGGCCCTGTCTGAATGAGTTTGACATTTGCATTCGAAAACATTTTAGGGATGTGTGAAAGGAGCTTATATAAGAGCACGTATGTTTCTATAAGTACACGCATCCTCGATAGAGTGTGTTGTTTGTTTTTATGTTCTTAAAAGTGGCTAAATATGATGTAATGTTCACTTAACCCCACCCCATTTTACTTGCTGTGTGTTTACAAGATATTTTCTCTTTTAATATAATGAAACACTCACATGCTCCTGAAACCCTCCGGTCTGCCATCTGAAATACTTTCATAAACACAACTGAAATGCTTTGTGGCTCATACCGACACGCTCTCACTAAAACTCAGATAAATGCACGTTTAAAAGTCTCTCATGTGTATCGTTGAAACTGTATTATCATAAACATGTTCTATCATTTATTCACAGCCGGTTGCCTACATTATAAACGGAAACAACTGAATCTTTTATGCACGCTTTTAAAATGTTCAAAATGTGATCCCTCTGGCATGAAACAATCATAAACTGATAAACATTAGAACTTTTTAAACGAATGATGCAGCAGTTTTTGCGTTGTGTGTTGTGAAACGTTGACATGTTGAACACTTCAGTGTAGAACATGAATATAACACTTTATATTTATGAGCATATGTATTGTTCTGTTTGATCAAAGCTTTCTTTTAACTCTCAGTCTGCATCTGAACGGTAAAATGTGTGTGCAAAGTATTTTGAATTGCATCCAATATGCACCTCACACACACAACATGGAGCCGTCAGACTCGCATATGGTGCTCCAATTTGACTGAATGTGGAAACAAAAAGTAGTTGCACTCTTTCAAATCTATTTCAGTCTCTCACTGTAGAGAGGCAGCTGCGAGAACGGGGGGATCCGCTGAGATGGAAAGCGAGGAGAAATTGGAAAACACGGGGGCGGAGAAACAGATGGGGACGCAGAGAGGATACGGAGACCCTTATGTCTAAAGTATCTGTATGATCTAATCTGCTTAGATTAGAATAATGCTCATGAGACCGGGTTAATTTAGCGGGTTTATGTTCAGCTGTTCCTCAGAGGCAACGCTCGCCCCTCCACCTTCAGTTTGACACTGAATACTTCATAACACCTTTGATGGTCAAGTGCCCTTTTCTAGCATGGACACAAGCCACAGCAACAAGGAGGTCAGATATGTGTTTCCAGGAAATATTGAATGAAAGGGGAAGGGGTGAAGATGATGAGGAATGTCGTTGAAGGGAACGATCAAGTAAGGGATGAAGGGATGAAGGGATGAATGGAGTGATGGATGAAGCGAAGGAGGGCCGAAGGGTATGAAGGGATGAAGTGATGTAAGGAGAGATGGTGGAAAGGTGTAATGGATGAGGGTTGAAGGGATGAATTTGTATGGAGTGAAAGATAAAGGTATGTACATGTAGGGAGGTGGAAAGTCGGAGAGATGAAGGGAGAGAGATAATAAGGGATGTAGGGAGGGACGGGTAATTGTAGAACGGATGTAGGGATTAGGGCTGTCCCGAATACCAGTTTTCGGGCTCCGGATATTCGGTAGTAATCAGCAGCGAACCGCTTCGACACGTGTATTTCGGTTTATTCACGGCATTCATTTTGTTATTCTACAGTATTGTTGTTTTATAGTTATTTGTGAATGTAACCCAATTTGTGTTCTTTGAAATTGAAAAGGATATCGCATTGTGTTTGTTACTTTCGTTGCAGTTGTATATGTCTTACGTGTAATTTGGCTTGGCTTCCTATTTTGTATGGACATGCTTTTATTTTGAAGGAGAGGTAGCGCTGTTGACAGGAAGTTGTTGTTGCTATGGAAACAACGTGACGGAGATTAATGGAGAAAAAGTCATATCTACATATAAAGATGGAGAAAGTAAACAATAACGTTTATGGTTAAGTGTTAGCACCCCCCGAAGAGGCACAAGCTCTTACGTTGATATTGGAGAGTTCAATAAATTAGAAGAAAAAAATCCGAATATCCATCCATCCATCCATCTTCTCCCGCTTATCCGTGGTCGGGTCGCGGGGGTAGCAGTTCCAGCAGAGAGCCCCAAACTTTCTTTTCCCTGGCGACATCAACCAGCTCTGACTGGGGGATCCCAAGGCGCTCCCAGGCCAGCGAAGAGATATAATCCCTCCACCTGGTCCTAGGTCTACCCCTTGGTCTCTTCCCAGCTGGACGTGCCTGGAACACCTCCCTAGGGAAAATCCGAATAACGAAATTGAAACCCGAATAGTACTCCAACGAACGAATATTCGGATATTCGGGTACAGCCCTATGGGATCGATAAAGGGATGACTGTGTGAAGAACGTTAGGGAGGAAGGGATGAAGGGGGTGTTGATGAGAGTGAATGAGGATGAAGCTATGGAGGGTGCTAGGGAGGAAGGGATGAAGGAATCGATGAGATGTGGGGAAGGAAGGATGTGGGTAAAGATGAGGTAGAAAGGGGAATGAATGAAAAGGAGGGTTGGTGGTGAAATTAGAAGCGAGATATTTCTTGTAGTCTCTACTTATTTGTTCAACTCAAACTGCAGAAGTTCACCAAACTTCAAAAAAATGGCTTGAAACTGTTGCCTTAAATGTTAGATAGGTATTTAGTGTGTGAGAAACACGAACAGGGAAGAATTAGATTATCGTACAGACAGATATGCAGGCATACACTTTACATAAGCGTGTATTCTTGCTGTACTTAAGAATGTAAAGTCAGAAATCTAATTAAAATGTTTCCCGTTTACAGGCGTTTGAGCCACAGAGCTGTGTTGATATTTACGTCGTTATGTCTCATTACAGCAGAAGGTATTTTTGCTAATGCTCTGAGGTTGGTAAACTCCAGATGGGTCGTCAAATGTGATTAACTCAGGACGGACTTCTGTCTCGCCTTTCTCCTCAAAACGCTCCTTTGGGCAATGCACTTTGGAGACATTGGTACACTTCTTACAAACTATCCACCAAAATAAAGAACTGAATTAATTCAAGGCGGCACAGTTTTGGCATCATGCTCTATTTCATATCCATAACAAATTATTTAAACGGTAGCTAATGGTTTTAAGGGCTTTTTAGATACTGTGGGGAAATATACATGCAAGTCCCGACTCTATCTTATCCATCACTGAGCTTCTTTTATTGTGTTACACAATGTAGGAAGTCCTTCTCTTCCATTTAAGCTCCTGCCGCCTCAGAGGTCTCTGCAGGGATTCATTAAACTGTCTAAATTGATAGCAAGAACAATCAGATTTAAATTAAATGTTATGCAACAGGGAAAGTAAAAGGATCTGAATGCCTGCTGCACTCACCAAGGTTATGTTTGACTTTGTTCCTTAGCCAGTATAGAGAAACACACTTCAGCTCTCTGTGGTCTCTTAAATGGGATTAATGGCACAACAACCTGATACATGCCTTCCTTGGCTTTACTTTTGCTACAAAGTTTTACAGGTAATAATAAAACATCTGTGAGAAAAAGACAAAAAAATCCGCAACTAGAACTTAGTTCATGAGAACCTTTCCATCCCCTTTTCAGTCCCTGCTAGAGAGCAGCTGCTTTCATGGGAGAAAAAGGTTCCCATTTATATTGGCTGGGCAGATTGCAAACCACGCCCCGTAAAACTCCCAAAATGTTTTGTGAAGCCGCCATTTTATTTGCTGGCATTAGCATTATTAGCATTAGCATTATTAGCATTAGCCCAGCGCACAAACGGAGAGAGACTAACTTATGGCAACACAAAATAAAACATGGGAGCGGTGGAGATGAGGAGGTGTCGGCGTTTCTGGCGATTTACTCGGAAGGCTTCAGTAGAAGCTGCTGGGAGTCCCAGCAGCTTCTACTGAAGCCTTCCCCAACTCCGGGGACTTCCGGCCGGGGACTTCGGGTGGCAGTATACGCCGTGAAGTGGTTTGCGGCCTGCCAGTAAACCCGAAGAAGAAGAAGAAGAAGTGACGTCAGCTGCTTCATTTGCCTAATCCTCCCTCAGGGACTTATTCCGGTGTGAACGCGATCTTCATCAGAACTAAAGAGTTCTGATGAACTAAGTTCGGCAAAGTACTTGGTGTGAAAGCGCCTTTAGATGCAGAAGCCCTGACTGGCAGGTTAGTAACAAAAACAGGTAACATAAAAGTAAGTTAAAGACAATCTTAAAGGTGGGGTCGGTCATTTTGGAGAAAGCAGCTCGAGTGCGCTAGAATTTTAAAATACACAACCTGGACAAATCTGCCACTTCTTCACAGAGCCCCTCCTCCAACACACACGAACGCGCACATGACCAATGAGGGCACGAGATAAGTTTGTGCGCAGATGGAAGGCTGACGGGCAGGTAGGCCATCCAGTTACTTTAGCCGGGTCGTGCTTTTTACAGCGCTACGGCTTCCACAGATGAAATATTTTATGGATTTGTTGTCAAAGCACTCAAGATATTCATTGCTATCGGGATGTTAAGAGCATTCTATGGAATATAACAACAAGTGTATCTCGAGCCTTTTTCTCAAACGTACCTACCCCACCTTTAAGTTCTTAATATTAGGTTTAATCCCGATTTGTTTTTACCACATAACCTCACATAACTTACATAACTTCTTACATAAGTGTCATTTTTGTCTTTTGGCTCAAAGTTTTTTAATCATATCTATCTAACGGCTCCTGAAACATTTTCCACCTGCTGGCACTACATAAAGAATAGTCATTTTGAAACATTATCCTGGTTAATTAGTCCTATCATGTGCAGTGCCTTGTCTTTTATGCTGCTGCAACGCGAACATTTCCGTAACTTTTGCATCTCCTCTTTGGACGAGCTTACGTTATATTCCAGTTGAACTCCAGGTGTTAGTCTGCCTCCACAGAGGGTCGCTATCCACTGAAATAGCTTTCAATTATTTCCCCCTGAAAGGTGTCTTCGTCTGACGGTGAGCAGCTCAGCGTGTAAACTATTGCAGGTCATTATTCAGGCTGTTGTTACGTATGGCCTTGAAGGGAAGTCTATTATATTCTTAACTCGGCAGACATATTTTATCCTGCCCTGCTGCTTATTGCTATTCACAGTAGGTGAGCGGACACACACACACACACACACACACACACACACACACACACACACACACACACACACACACACACACACACACACACACACACACACACACACACACACACACACACGGTGAAGGTTATTATGATGGCTGTATGGAGAGCAGGTGAGCGTTCAGATGAGTGACTCTGATAGGGGAACACAGGCAGGACACCCTCTCCTTCTCCCTCAGATTAAAGGAGTTTCCGCTCCTGCACTCCCTTTCTCCTCGTCATCCTCTCTTCTTCCTCTGCTCGTTCGACTTGGCGTCTCTTATCTACCTCCATTCATTACCAATCTCAAATTACCGTGCTGCCTTTGTTTCTGCCCTCTCTGCCTTTGTATTATTCCCTCCTTTCTCTATCCTTCATCGCCTCTTTCTGTCTCGTCTTCAGCGGGAGGAATCGCAGGGTGTGGACGAACTAATAGGCTCATGACGCGCTGTGTGTGAGGGCGAGAACATATTTGATAAACTCTCCTCCTGCTCCTCCATTGGCCTTTTGCCTCTAATAGCGTTCATTAGCTACTCTGAAGAAAGACTCACATGTGTCCACGCATAATGTAATTGAGTGTATTCTGCATAAAACCCTGATATATACACGTGGCGGAGAACAGAAAACACACACACAGGTTATCTCTTTACTCTCACTTTCTCATTGCACACACACACGCACAGTGACTCCCACACACAGCCGCACTCAAACCTCACTCGGCCCTCTTTAATTGGACACTTGAGCAGCGCACGGCTGCATCTGGCTCCTGTTGAACACAGCCTGACATTTCAGACTGCTGACCTTTCCAGCCCCGCCTCAACTAAATAATGATTAGTCCTGGCAACTGTTCCACCACAGCAGCAGCCAGGCGCACGCACACACACACACACACACACACACACACACACACACACACACACACACACACACACACACACACACACACACACACACACACACACACACAGGTGAAGGCAGCACAAAGGAACAAAAACACCTGCATGAAAGGCTTTGTCTTTTCAAAGGAAGAAAATAGGGTGCAGACATTGATTCGAGAGGCCATTGTCATTCTCTTGGTTTATCGATTAGATTGTCCTTTTCCATTTCTGCAGTCAGCGCCCAATAATGTGTTGTTCTAAATTAACTCTGCTTGCCTCTGTTTAGTTTCTCATTTCCCCCTTTGTGCGCTCTCTGTATTACAGTGGGGAAAAAAGGTCAATCATATTCATGAGATCTGGGCAGATTTGAAGAGAGAAGGGTGTGTGTGTGTGTGTGTGTGTGTGTGTGTGTGTGTGTGTGTGTGTGTGTGTGTGGTGTGTGTGTGTGTGTGTGTGTGTGTGTGTGTGTTGTGTGTGTGTGTGTGTGTGTGTGTGTGTGTGTGTGTGTGTGTGTGTGTGTGTGTGTGTGTGTGTGTGTGTGTGTGTGTGTCAATGAAGCAGTGTGGAGATAATAGGCAGTTCTCAGATCTCTCGTCTCACTTCTTCCCTCCATCACTTCTCACGCTGTATCTCCATCTCCAGCTGTTTCTGTGCAGAGAGGCTCTGTATTAGCGCCTCTATCTCTTCCCACAGGCACGCTTTGTGTTTCCTGCTTTCCTCTCTTCACACAGAACCTCTTGTTGAGGTCAGAGGTCACATTCGGCTCAGCCAGCTGCTCAGGCTGTGTCTGAATCCATCATACACACATCTACATATCTGCATAGTTACAATATGGAAATGTAATGAGGGGCATGGGTAGAAAAGAACAATGATATTAAGTGTAAAGCTGATGGGTACAACAGTCATTTGTTCAGCCTTATTGTTTCCATGGAAACTCCCTGATATGTGCATACGTTTAAAAAAAATCAAAGCATCAAAATTTAAATTCATATTAAGAGAATAATAATAATAATAAATAAATAAAATAATAATAATAACAATATTTAAAAAATATGTAATGAATAATAATAATAATAATAATAATAATACATAGATAAAATAATAATACAACATAATAACATTACAAATATGAATACAAATAATATGAATAATAAATAAAAGAATAATAATAATAAAACTTTAAAATATGTAATAAAAAGATGAATAACAATATTAATAATAAATAAAATAATAATAACATTCAAAAATGTATAATAAAAAAAGATAAACACAAATAATAATATTACCTAAAATGTCTTTACATTATTTTACATAAAAACAGAACGCATTTAAAAACACACAGAATAATATAAACAAATACAACTCAGACATAAGGAGTAATGCATGTTTTTGTTTTCAAAGCTTCCCAAATAACCATTACTTTGTTCCAATGTGCATCAAATTCCATAGCCAGCAACACAAATACAATTATATTTGGCAGTGTTGGTACTGTTAGTTGCTTTATCAAAAGTGCATTTACTTTCCTCACCATGGAGCTCATACACCTCATTCTCAGTGATTAAAGAAATATAATTAATGTGGAGAAATCTGCGTTTCAGCTACAAATCTAAATGAACAGCAATGATTCAGAGGTTCAGTTATTACTTCACCCTCTTAAAATAGGCCTGTGATTAAACCGCAAAAATGAACATTTCAGATCTATTTCATACTCACCAGAACAGTAGACATGATAATTAGGTTTCCTACCGGGATGGCACTCGCTCAGATTGCCAGGAGGAGCAACAGTTAATAAAACAAACACAGCATTAGGAAAAATAAGGCAGCCGTGGAAATTGGTTTGGCTGTTATTGCAGACAAACACGCCATCAGCAACAAGCTTGTTGTCTGCCTACCAAAACATATTATGGTCAACAACAAAAACACTAACCTCATAAACTGGAGGGAAATAATAAGAATTCAATGAACTCAAAGAAACACATTTTAATTCCTGTTTTTAGTGGAAATCTAGCTTAAGCCTCCCAGGAGCCAGCATTAAAGAGGTCTGTATCAGTATGTAGTGTCTCTACTTTAAAGAGTCCTCTGATGTTCAGGTGTATATCAGTATGTAGTGTCTCTACTTTAAAGAGTCCTCTGATGTTCAGGTGTATATCAGTATGTAGTGTTTCTACTTTAAAGAGTCCTCTGATGTTCAGGTGTATATCAGTATGTAGTGTTTCTACTTTAAAGAGTCCTCTCCTGCTGATGTTCAGGTGTATATCAGTATGTAGTGTCTCTACTTTAAAGAGTCCTCTCCTGCTGATGTTCAGGTGTATATCAGTATGTAGTGTCTCTACTTTAAAGAGTCCTCTCCTGCTGATGCTCAGGTGTATATCAGTATGTAGTGTCTCTACTTTAAAGAGTCCTCTCCTGCTGATGTTCAGGTGTATATCAGTATGTAGTGTCACTACTTTAAAGAGTCCTCTCCTGCTGATGTTCAGGTGTATATTAGTATGTAGTGTCTCTACTTTAAAGAGTCCTCTCCTGCTGATGTTCAGGTGTATCAGTATGTAGTGTCTCTACTTTAAAGAGTCCTCTCCTGCTGATGTTCAGGTGTATATCAGTATGTAGTGTCTCCTTTAAAGAGTCCTCTCCTGCTGATGTTCAGGTGTATATCAGTATGCAGTGTCTCTACTTTAAAGAGTCCTCTCCTGCTGATGTTCAGGTGTATATCAGTATGTAGTGTCTCTACTTTAAAGAGTCCTCTCCTGCTGATGTTCAGGTGTATATCAGTATGTAGTGTTCTACTTTAAAGAGTCCTGCTGATGCTCAGGTGTATATCAGTATGTAGTGTCTTACTTTAAAGAGTCCTCTCCTGTGATGTTCAGGTGTATATCAGTATGTAGTGTCTCTACTTTAAAGAGTCCTCTCCTGCTGATGTTTCAGGTGTATATCAGTATGCAGTGTCTCTACTTTAAAGAGTCCTCTCCTGCTGATGTTCAGGTGTATATCAGTATGCAGTGTCCTCTACTTTAAAGAGTCCTCTCCTGCTGATGTTCAGGTGTATATCAGTATGTAGTGTCTCTACTTTAAAGAGTCCTCTCCTGCTGATGTTCAGGTGTATATCAGTATGTAGTGTCTCTCTTTAAAGAGTCCTCTCCTGCTGATGTTCAGGTGTATATCAGTAGGCTAGTGTCTCTACTTTAAAGAGTCCTCTCCTGCTGATGTTCAGGTGTATATCAGTATGTAGTGTCTCTACTTTAAAGAGTCCTCTCCTGCTGATGTTCAGGTGTATATCAGTATGTAGTGTCTCTACTTTAAAGAGTCCTCTCCTGCTGATGTTCAGGTGTATATCAGTATGCAGTGTCTCTACTTTAAAGAGTCCTCTCCTGCTGATGTTCAGGTGTATATCAGTATGTAGTGTCTCTACTTTAAAGAGTCCTCTCCTGCTGATGTTCAGGTGTATATCAGTATGTAGTGTTTTTGCAGACCGTTTACATGCACTAAAATCTAAATAACACCCTACAGGGAAAGGAGAACCCCCAAAAAGCAGAATAGAGCCTCTTAAACAGTTCCTTTCTTGCATAACACGTGTCAGAAAATGGCGTAAATTGTCTGCAGTGTGAACACGGGGTCAGATTTAGAGTTTTTGTATTCCACAATGCAGCAGCGATGCTTCTCCCAGCCATTTAATAGCCTTCCTTTCTGTAGATGAGAGTCTCCGGGCAGCCATCCAAACGGGTGTATATCATGTGTTTATGTCTTTGCGGTGGTGCTGCTGTTGTTTTTGAATATGATGAATATTTGTTGGTCCTCTTGCAAATTGCACTCATGGAGTTCTGTCACACGGGTGTAGTAATAGTTTCCCTCCTGCCTCTAAATCCTGTGAAAGGCTGGCCTCATGAAACACAGGGTGAATATTCAAACTCTTTGAGGTTTAACTATACTGTTTGACTTTGAAGTTAACCCCTTCATGTGTACTAGTTTATTTATTTTTTAGACTTTCATCAGCTGTTCTCTATCTGCTGTCCAAATTCCCTCGTATGGCGCGTTTCCACTGCAGCGGGTAGCTCGCTTTAAGCGTGCCGAGCCGTGCTGGGGCCCGTTTTTGGTTGCGTTTCCACTTGGCCTAGTTTTGGCCCGGGGCTACTTTTTCACCTTTTTTCTGGCCCGACTAAATCGTGGTTCTAGGGCCAGGAACAACCAGGCTGAGTCGGGCTGAGTATGCTAAACTAGAGAGAGAATCGCTGGCAGGGGGCTACAACTACAACAAGATGAACATATTTGACCGTGATTTAATTGTAATACACGTTTCAAAATGATGCCGAAGTAACAACACACTGATACCGGTTAGTAAAAACCATGAATTAATGCTTTGACAAGTCTGCAGACAGACGGCAGGCGAAAAACCCTTTTAAAATGCGTGTTTTCTAAATGTAGCTTGGCTAAGCTAACGTTATATATGCTCCGACCGTCCACACTCACAACAACGGCCTACAGACATAAATAAACCAGCGACTGTATTCTCCATGACACAGGCAGTCTGTGGTTTGTACTTGTTTAACTTTTGTCTAGTTTCTGAACAGATAT